TGCTGGTCTTTTCCTAAGAGTCTTTCTATGAGTTGCCAGTCAGGTCACCCAAATTTTCAGTTCAAAGAGCAGGAGAATCAGCTACCATATCCTCTCACTTCCACAGGAGCTCTCACACCAAGGCAGAGCATCTCACTTAAGATGAATTTCCGAGTGCAAATCAATAGAGAGGACACAGAAGAAAAGATCAAGTATTATCCACAAACTCTGCTGATCACCAGCTTTGTCTTGAAAAGACAATCATAAACTGCCCACTCTAGTAAACGTCTGCATTCAGTAACAAGAGCTTTGTTTCCTTTTTTCCTGGGTAATGAAGAGGAGTTGCAATGTTATTTCTAACCCACTTTCACAACATAGAGTAAGAAGATATTTAAACAGGGAGACAAGGCTATATCAGCTGCTCTTCGAAGCAGATTATAAAGAAGGAATTGCAGCTGCAAAAATGAGGTAATACCTGTATTTCTGGCTGTAAAATATTTGGAATTCAATCATATTTGAACTTTGCAAAATGTCTGCATATGTGGGTCAGTTCACAAGGCAGGACACTGCAAGTTGTTTGTCATATGTAAAAGATGTTTTACAAGTTTAAGTGAAAGAAACAGAGTTCTGATGGTGGCCAGGTGGCTGCTGGTTGCTGGGAAATGCTGGCTGAGCATCTCAGCACACAGGGAAGTGTTTTTTTAAATAATCGGTTTTAGCTGAGCAGGAGGAACGAAAGGGAGCTGTTTGCTTCTGAAGCTGCTGCTCTAGCAAGGGTCTCATTCTGCTTCTGCACTTTTAACTGTTATCCACTTCATAGTAGAGAAAGAGGAGATATAATCAGCTATAGATGGGGCTCCTGCAGTTCAGAAATCTGATATTGCCTGCAGCACAGCTGGAGGCATAGAAAATTTAGCTGAGATGTGAGATTTTACGATTGTATTAGCAAATATAGAAGTACCACTGAAAATACACATTACACATATAGGCTGGAATGGAACTACTCACAACTGATTGTAGGAGCAGTAGAAGGGAGGAGCACAGGTACAAATTACAACAAAAACAGCTATACTGATGTGTAGAGGACTGTATCTTGTCAGACCAGTAGATGATTATTCCCCTTCCTCATTGGGGGAGAAACAGAGTGTAGGTACCCATGCTGACATATCTCCAACTGGGCTTCTTCTGATAGCAGAAATAGAATTCCTGATTACTCATAGGCAAGAATAATTTTTAAATGTTCTTGCACTGAACAACCTTTTTATAAAAAATATGTATTTATTAAATCAAAAGAAGAGAATGCAGGGGTACCACAACGAAAGAATTCAATTTAAGAACTCTAGCTGTGCTTCAGTCTAAGATTAACTATCAAAAACTTCTAGGATCCTATTAGAAAGAACAGAACTTTTTTTTTAATACCAGATCAAAATTTCTTTCTTAATAATTCTTTTCCTTAAGAGAAGACGGTTTTTTCAATTCTTCTCATATGTGCAGCCTTTAATTAGTCTGTTGGGCAAAAGCAGTATTAGCTAGACTCTGCCACAATAACCCATATTTGGTAGCTAATTACTCCTTGAATAGTCTTAAGGCTACCAGCAATTTCAGTACAATTGGCAGCCTGGGGCCCCCAGGAGCTGTTCCAGCATCCAAGAATAGCTGGAACAGGGACACAGGCAAGTCGTGACCCTTTCTCCTCAGCCACAACCTAACATATCTACTGTGCCAAAGGCAAGAGCAACACCGAAATGAAAATATTCCGAAGTGGCTAAATGTGCTCTCTTTATGGCCTTTTTAAACTAATGAAGTAGCATAAAGGGACTATAGGGAAATGGAAAATAGGACCTTTTAAATGCTAAAGCAGTGGCAGGACTACTAATAATTTTTCAATTTTGCAATGTTCCATTAAAACAACAGTACAAAACACTTATATGGGATCAAATCTGACACAAGACTTTTATTCTAGTATATTTTATCCACTTATGCCTCATATTGCAGCAATTTACATCACTGCAATATGGGTGTCAAGTCAGTATAAAATGCTGACTTGATTTAGTAGCATTTCATAGGTATTTTACACAGGTAGAAATTACTTCACGAGGGACACAGCAATATCTGTGATTTCAGTAAAATGATTCCTGCTGTAGACTTGTGTGACATCAGTGGCAAACTAAAATTAACACAAAAATTTAAATCAGAACTTCAATTTTAAATACACTGTTAATTCAGACTCTATTCCACAACTCTAAAGAGGGTTGCTCTGCAAATTCAGCAGTACTTGTGCTTGCAAAGAGCAAGGAATTCCTTCTAAAACACTTCAAAAGTTTATGAGGGATCCCTTTCTACTACATTCTTTTAACTTTAGTTTATCACTGTTGACGAGCAAACTGATACAAGTATAGCTATGAAAGTGCCAGCATTGTTGATGCTGACTGTGAGATGGACACTGGACTCTGGATAACAGTGATAGCTTAGCTCAGGTCTTAGCAGCAGCACCACGAGGCTGTAGGTTTGAAGAGAAGTTGCCTTTGGCAGTGGTATTGACTTAAGGTACTTCCTACAATTTTTTCTTCCTTCCTGGCTGTTTCTTCCTTCCTTCCTTGTTCTCTTAAGAGCCATATGAGTTTTATTAACACAACTGTCTGTAAGCCCACCTTGTGAATCAGGCCATGGGAATTTAACAGGTATTGAAGAAAAAATTCTGCAAAAAAAGCTTCGTTAGGCAGTTTAACCTGAGTCAGTCTCATGATTCTGTTCCCAAACACACACATATAAAGTCATTTTGGCACAGCTGAAACAGTGTCAGGAACGAGTAGCTGACAGTTGAGGTGGGTCCTGAGAATGCCTCAAAACAGGCTGCTGCTGGCAAAAGTGTGCATGGAACAATACATTTACTGTGTCCCTTGCTTACCTGCGTGTGCATCAGCCTGTTCCAGGGCTATGGTCCATGACTTTAAGTACTGCAGTAATTTAGGGCACCAGAAATCCTTTCCCAGTGTTTGTGAGGGAATTTGCCTGCCCTTCTGCTAAGAGCAGTGTTCTTAGCACCTGATTGCAAATCACCAGCCTAAAGGAAAACAAAAGTAAGACATGCTACATTTGGGTTCCACTGAAGTACAAACCTTGACCCTCCTGACTACCTATAGCAAAAGGTACTGTTCAGCTCAGTTCCTCTCAGTGGGAGTTATGCTAAGACCATGTCCAAAGCACTGAAAAAAAATCCTCTCTGGCTTTAAGATCCAGAAGGATTCCAAGCTGACTGCATGTCCTGACTCAAGATTTCCTGCCAGTTGTGCTCCCCTAACATCAGAGTCCAAGACTTGAAGAAAAAACAAGTGCAGCAGATTCTGAAGAAGAGACAAAATTATCTCCTAAAATGGCCCTGGTCATGGATCGGATGGTGGGACAGATGGATTGCAGGACAGACAGAAAGCTGTTGTGAAGAGAAAAAAAAAACTCAAAATAAAGGTAGTCCAACACAGGAGTAGATTGTCCAAGGGTATCTCTTGACTCTTCATCCTTGGAGATACTCAGAACTCAGCAGGACAATGCCCCTGCTTTGATCTGAGATTGACCAAGTGACCTCTAGGATCCCTTCAAAGTAAATTATTCTGCTATTCTGTGACCAAGGAGTGTCATGTGTAGGACTGATGAGGCTCCAAGGATTTAAACTGGGTAATGCTCAGGAAAAATCTGAAACAGTAGTCAAACAAAGCAAACTCTCTTTATCACTTATCCATTCCCCTAAGCCCTTTTTTCTTTCTCTCTTAAGGTCACAAAAAAAATTCTTTTTTTTAACTTTAATTCCCCATGAAAGTATGACATGCAAGCACTTGATAACACAGGTAGTTTGGAGGACCTCAGAGTCTAGAAGCAATACCTGAAAGGTGAAGAGTTACTGTTCAATTTTCAATTTTAACAGTAGCAAAGGTTTTCATCTTGGGTTTTGAGTCTCTTTCCAGATAGTGAAGATCATATATCTTTTCTCACCTCTTATTTTAAATGCTCTGGAAATTAAGGAAGGAAATGTCCATAGTTCTGAAACTGTTAGTAGTTGTGTCAGAGCAGTAAGAGAAATGGGGGCTTGTTTGAGGCACAGGAAATGCTCTCACTCTCTCTTATTATCACTTAGTATAGAGACCAGGTGAAACCTTGACATAGGGAAAGCAAGGCCTTAACTAAGTGCAATTCAGGAAACATTGAGAGGGATAGGTAAAAGGCCTTAATTTATGTTTCCAAAATGAAAAAGAAATAAAATAAATCCTTATATACATTAACAATATTATACTAATGTTCTGTAAGGCTGGAAAGCCTTAGAGACCTACTCAGGAAATCAGAAAGTGGTTTTGCCTTGCATCAGAGCCTTTCCAAGCATTCTTCATTTTGGAGAATTTCTTTTTCTATCATCTGTGGGCAAATCCTAAGTTAGGTGTGTCAGTATTATTGCTGTATAATGAGATTTAAGCACACTGGGAGTTAACATATTATAATCATATACAATTCATAATAATTGTATATAATTATAAATTGTGTAAAATGTTTCTGTTCATATTGCCTTAGTAGTGCAATGTGAGAGTTGTAGGGTTTTTAAAGATTTATATATAAAAAAGTTTAATTAGATTTTTACTGAATTAAAAAATACATTGGTGAGGTTTTACAGACATTATTGTATAACCATTGAATTATTTCTTGTGTGATCAAAATGTTCTTACTCATATGTGTTGTGATTATAGGGCATGTTCTCTGGAGGCTGACATGATTGGCATGGGAGCATAAGGAATGATGGCTAGTTCACTGCAGAAACTACCAGCATATAAAGTTGTGGTTTCCTGACTTACTACTGGGAAAGACACTGTCGTTTGGAGCATGTAAGGATGACAGTAACTTAAATAGAGGTAAGCAGCATTTCCAAGAGCTAAACCACAACACAAAACCTCTACACATGACATGTTCAGAGCTCCAAACTACAGCAATGAAAATAAATAAATACTATGTGTACACAACATCATAATTACATCAATATCTTACAATGGCAAGAGAAAGAGTTTTTAATAATTTCTTCTACAGTGCAATTTACAGCCAGAGCATTTCTTTGACAGAAGGTTAGGCAGCAATAGGGATGTTGGGAGGAAGGGAAGCAGGAAGGCGGAGAAACACAGGACTAGATCCATTCCTGAGAAGTCAAGTCTCTGCATACCAAAGATCCCTTGGTATATTCCTCAATCACACCCCACTAACTATTCCCTTCCACACTGTCCATGTCCAAACCAGAAAAGTAAGTTGTCAGTCTTTTTAAAATATCCTGCCTTAGTTTGATTTCTGATAAAGGCCCAGCACACGAGTTTTCTTTTTGATTATCTTCACATCTTTTGCTCTAAAGGGATGTTGCATGAGGGCCTGTGACCCAGCTCAATTCACAAGTGCCCTCAGAAGTTTGAATACTAGTCTTCCCTGTACTTTTTTGCCTTTTCCATGCAAAGAGTAAGAACACTTAGGACCTCAGCACAGCATTTATGGGAAGGACACAGGAGAGCTATAGGAAAATGCTGACTCCTAGGGCATGGTATTAAAAATTTGCCATTATTTTATAAGACACTTGATCAGGAGAAATCACATGCTTCGTTTTTGTTTTTGTTTCACATGACTCTCATTCCCACCTGGTTTACCACAAATTATCAGGCCCTATCATTCAATGAGATTGGACCCTCCTTGGAGTATGTGGGGCAGCCATATGAATAGTCTTCAGTAGTTTCTTAGCTTTAGGATTTTTGGTCAGTCCTGAGTTTCTGAGACTCATAACAGCCTAAGAAAGTGCCTCTATAATGTCTGCCGCCAGGTAGCTGGACTCATTCCATCCCAAGTGCACTGGAATCACACACTGGACGGCAGATGTTTCTCTTGCAGGTAGAAGTCAAATACATAAAACACATTTTGCTTTAAGTATCCCCATATGTAGCAAATTGCTATGTATCATCAGACCTTAATTTAGTATATTTAACAAACTTTCGCTTGGAAGTAGTTTATGTTGATGAGCTTTTATGAAGCATCACTTTTTGCAAAATTCAACCCCAAAGGATGGTTTAAGTTATCTTCTTGTATACCTTTAGTACTTGCATATAATGTAATGTGATTGCAGTTAAAATAGCACTGCTAGTAGAGATTACATCGGAATGGTTGTGAGCCCAAGCCTGTCTCTGGAGTAAATGATGTGAGTGCTTTGTATGAATTGAATAGTGGTGCGTTGCCAGGAGTTCGGGTTATTCCTCTACAGGAAACTGTATTAAAAATAACAGTCTTTCAGTACAATCTGGTCCCATTTGGAGAACACACATAACCTTTTAAGAGTGATAGTGGTAGAAGAATGCTAAAAACATAAGCTTTTAAAAGGTGATAGTGGTAGAAAAAACAGTAGTAGAAGAATGTTAAAGATGCTTCAGCTGTGCCAAGACTGAAAGTTTTGGAAAGTTCCCCAAAATGTATCAAGAGAAATAAAATGGCACTTCAACTTCTAAAAAGTAACTTCTGCATTCTCCCACAGTGCTAGTTTAGTAGAATTACAGCTCTACAAACTCAGACTTGCATAATAGGAATTCTTGCTGAATTTGGGGTGTGCAATGTTAACACTAGTTGTGTATGTTATTTATTGATTATTCCAATTTTTAGGGGTCTTGTACATGTAAAAGTTTTATTAGCATCACTCTGTCAGTTATGAGAACATTTTTACTAACTTTGTTAATACCAGCACCAGTGGTATAGATGTAGTCATACCATAACAAAGCTGATTTACAGACCCCAGTATGTGCTATACTTTTAAAAAGAATTCTTGTGTTCATATGACTGCATCTACTTCAGGATACCCTTTTCTACTTTAACTTATTTCCTGGTATGGAGGTACAAGTATGCTCTTACCTTGAGAAGAATCATGCTTCTTTCAGTTTATTCCAAACCACAATCATACCCTTTTGCCAGGTCTGCTCCAAATTCCCAGCTCCATTTGTATTCATAACACTATGCAGTTTGGAGGGAAAAAAACTCAGTGGCAATGCCAGCTTTCATAATCCCTGCTATTCTTCAGTTAAATCAGTTCCATAGGCTACTCTAGCATGCACCCAAAAAAATTACTGTGCCAGCCTAGTAAAGACTGCAGTACAGGTGCAGGTGGAAACAAATAGCCAGGGTGGCCTGCACAATGTTAAGCAGTACTGCCATGGAAAGTTGCATTGCGGTCACTTACAACCCCTGGCCAAAGACAGACAATGCTGCAGTGACAAAAGTAAGTTCATAAACTCTAATGGAATTTCAATGGAAATTAACAAAATCCCAACAAAAATTGTACATGACCCCAGCTGATTTTATATCAAAGACAGTAAAACCTGCATACACTTACTGATGGATTCAGCCCTTTGACTTAGGAAATATCAAAAATCACTGGGTTTACACTGCAGTGTTCTGGTTTACAATCTTCACCTCTGTCATGACAATTCAGCTTCAGAATGAAACGTCACAGATCCATAACACGACACAGCAGCTGTATACTTAAAAGAAGAAACATGGTGGGAAGCACAAAATCAAATCCTTTTTCTTTCACAATATGGGCTCAAACCTAACCCAGCAATTTCAAGAATTATGTTTTTATTTATCATTACGACTCATTTTTTCCCATCTCATTAATTACATTTACACGTGAGTACACTTGAGATTTCTACACAAATCATATTCTTGAACATTTCTGTACTTGCCTAAGGTGAAAAATATAATTTGAATTTGTGTCTCTCCCCTTCTTTTCTTCTGAGGAAAAAATTGTCAGTCTATTTACAGCTAATCAGATATAGACATGCTCTGACTTGAAACAGATTTGTCTAAGGACTATGCAGGGTTTATAGCTTATTAGGGTGGTAGGTTATCATTCCATGTGGTAGTAAATAGCTTGAAGAAATAATTTTGTCCCAGGAGAGGTCCTATCAGATGAGATCTTTTCTGTTTGTACCACTCTAACTCTGTGCTGGTTTGGGCATAATTTATTCTGCTCAACTGACAGAAAGCTGGCACAAACCCTGAATACAAACACTGTAACATATGCTCTGAGTGATTTGGTAAAAATGCAGTCGTGCTCACACCAATAACAGATCAAATTTTCACTGCCAGGAAATCCAGCATACACAGATTCTATATGATTTAATGTAGAATCACAGCCTGATATCACTTCATTTTTCTACATATTAATTGAATTTTAATTACTTTATGATGGGCAAAAATAAAGAGTACAGGTTTGTTTGAAATCTCCCTGACAAACACTTGTGTCGAATGAGTCTATTGTACTATAATGGTTCTTCAAGTAGGGACAAACATGATCTACAGAGAGTACTAATGTCTCTTTCATAACACTAGTGTGCATGATTTTGCACCTATATGGCCTGTACAGAAATGAACTCATGCAAGGTAAAAGAGGCGGTAACATCCCTCTGTAAAATAGATGTTGAACTGGCAGTGGATCTGCATCACTGGAGACAAACTCATGTGTAACGCGGATATTTTTGAGCTACTTTTCACCTCTTTGCACCCACTAACAGCACTGGAATAGAGAAAACAGGCTACTCGGATTTTCAACAGCTCATAGTCCTGCATAGGCTTTATGCTGTGTCTGAACTCTCATATGCACCTTGGTCTGTCTGCATAGTTCAATCCCTATTCAGCACAAATCACTAGAAATACATGGTTGCTGTTACCATTGGAGGAAAAGTTTCAGCTCTAAAATTACTTCTGCAAGATTGCATTGGCCATAGATTTTAACAGGAAACTTGCCAAAAACTTACTTCTGTTAAATTCAACCTCTCTTTCTGACTCTCTCCAGGCTGTTTCTGTCTAACATCCGCCCAGCTTTCAATTCTAACAAACTGATTTTTAAACTAAAATATCGTATTGCTTCTTTGGAACATGGATTTCTCATTCAGTTTCAGCCTAGTCCTGATCATTATTCAGAATGAAAAGGAGGAGACAGGGGTACAGAGATAACATATGGACATGCACACACTAAGCCTGGTTTTCCAGTGTCTTGTGTTTTATTTAGTCATATGCAGGCCTGCTAGGTGAGTGCAAAACAAAGGTCAAGGGCTCCTATTTTGATTTATTAGTATTATTTACTTATTTGCAAAACGGTTTTAATAACCAAAGATCTGCACAGTGTCTAGATTTGCCCCACTTGTTGATACGGCATCTAAAAACTTGACAGGAATGTGCTGAGGAAGGTGTGTATTTAACAGGAGGGCAAGCTTTAAAATACTTCAACTCCTTCCCACTCCACCTCCCTCTCCTTGCCAGTGCTGTCTAGCATGGCAGGCATGATCCTGCTCATATGATACAGGAGTAATCATGTGACTGAGCAGCTCTGCCATCTCAGTGTAGCCCCTCCTGACACCTGAGTAATTATCTACCATGAGTTTGGTGATCTTTATATCCGTCCCTTCTGAGGGGAGGGACTGAAACACAGGCACTGGAGTGTTTTGCTTACACAGCATTTTGTTTTGTTTGGTGCTTTCTCTTCTGGCAGTTGAGAATAAAGGTTTGCATCTTTATAAGACATAAATAAAAGATGAATTGGAATGAGAGAATTAGTTAGTATTACCCTTCATGAAAATATTCCCTGTAAAATATAAAAGATTGTGTTCACCTGTTCCAGAGTACTTCACAAACAATTCAACCTGTCTGCTTAAGAGGTTTACAGCTGCTTTTTCACGTGAATTAGAAAGTACCTATTACATGCACAACAATTACATGCCTCTCATCACAGGATCTAGATTACTCCCAAAAGTCTTTTCTCATATAAGGCTTGTCTACATAATCTAGCATAGGGAGTACTCCCCTAAAAAAAGTTGGCCCAGAATTCGTCCTCCCAAAAGTTTTAACACCTGCATTAACCAGAAGAAATATTACTCCAATCAGAATGCCTTGAGAGTTTTGTCAAGCCTACGCCAAAACCACTATATACCAGTGTCAGGCACTGGTAAGAGGCTAGACAAACAGGAACCTTATTCAGAACCAGTGACCATCGCTTGCAATGGGTAGAAGTTGTTAACATACTTGGGTAAACTTCATTTAACTTTTCCTGACATTATTTTAGAAGCAAGTCCCAGACAGTGTGGGAGCTGCAGAGAAAAATCAGCTATTGTTCTTAGCCACTGCTAAAGCAGAACATGCATTCGGAAGGCAAGACACCACTTCCTTTTACACTACCAACAGTTTACACTAATTTGTGGCATACTTCATTTTGCACCTTTACTTGAGAGGCTGAAAGTGAGTATTCTGACAATGTCTGGATCCTGTAAACTTACCTTAGGAGTTGTTTTGAGCTGACTCACACTTCTGGGAGCATCCATGTCTTTGACAAGAAATCAGGAAGACTAAAATTAGAAATACTACATGTATTCAGATGAAACCACTCTAGGGAACAGTTTATTGTTGATATATAGGGCGGCTTGTGCTAGGAAAATGCTTTGGAACCCCCATGTTTCTATGTTACGAGGCTTTATAGAGGCCTGTGGTGCTAATTCTTTAACAAGCTTTAGGTTAGGCGACCACAAATTTGTACAGTTGTATAGGCCAGAATAATTTTAAGGTTTGCATGGGGTAATGGTTGATTTCTTTTTCAAAATACATGTCAAATTAAACATAAATCTTGGCGCGTGCTTTTCTGTGAGCACGGGATGCTGTTGTATCTGATCTTACAGATTAGCTGCTTTACTCTTCTTTAAAACATTCTTGCATAACAGCCATCTTTATAACTAAGTGAACAACAAATGTCTAAATAAACAACTCCATTAATATTGGAAACATATGAAAGGAAATGTTTTAAGAGCAAGGCCATCAAACCTTCTGTCAGCTAACAAAAAAACGGTTTTAATTTCCTAGTACAGTTTGGAAGACCAAATCTGAAGTGAAATCTGTGAAAATAAAGTCTACAAATGCACTGTCATAACTTCTTTGTGTTAGGTTATTGCTCAGAGAGCTTGTAATTAGTCTTTATAGAATTTGTATCTGCACATAAACTTTAGACACTGGAAAGCATTTGCTGCCCTTCTAGCAAGTGCCTTCTTTCCTTTTTCCTCGTGCCATTACATTGTCAGAGTTTCTTATCCCTTGTTCCTGTTGTACCTGCAGCAAGTCTTGGAATTTGGTGTTCCTCTTCTGCATCTTCACAGCAATGGCATTGGGAGTGAGATGCATTTCTTTGCTATCTGTAGCAATGGCTTTGCTCAGCCTCCTAACTGGCCCTTCCATCCTCCGAGTAGCCGCAAAACTAGAGAAAGTGAACGCATTAATCTGAGATTCCAAAGAAGAATGTTGTCTAGCTGCCTTCTGATAAAGGCCCTAGTTTACAAATTTTAACACAATGACTATGCTGTCTGTCTAAGCAACAAAAAGGTGCTCTGTTCCAGTAGAGGAATTTCTTCAGCCAATGAAAAGATTTTTGTGGACTCTGGTGACAATACCACGTATTGGTGAATGTGTTAATAACAGGAGAGATACATTAAAATTCACCTCATTAAACAAATTAACCAAAATCATGCTTGTGGAATAAGTCTGTAAGTATTATTTATTAGAAAGTGGCAAAGGCTACTGATGTGTTGCTGATGCATATGTTGCTACCTGATAAACATAATCTGGCTGTATTCTGCAACTTCCTCCTCTTTTCTCATCAAAAATAGAAACACAGGGCAAAATCTAAAAAAACATGGACTTTGCCACAGAGGACTTCAGCAATTTACTCCTTGCTTGCCAAAGAACAGGAGCTGCATGTGTACAGTTTTCATACACCCCCCTCCATAAAAAAAAAAAGACTACGACTTACGAGGACAGACTGATCTTTGGTGACATTGAATCCTGACAAACTTTGTCCAATGAAGAGGTCTAAAATCAGTAATCCAAGTCACGACAACTCTATCTCAATCTGTATCCCGCTATGTGTGAATGATGCAGTTCTACAGATTATGACATCACACTAAAGAAAAGGCATCTAATGGTATGAATGGTGCCTATTTAAAATATATAGGTCACTACTATGACACATTTACACTTGGCTGTGTATTTACCATTCTCCCCCTCAATAATCAGGTGGACTTTGGGATGGAAGAGCGGTAATAAACTTCTGCGTAAGCTGCCTAAATGGGTTTTGACCTTTACAGAAGCCAATCTCTCTAGGAAAAGCCAACAGTGTAACAGATAAGGCTAAAAACTGTATATTGGCTTGAAACATTGGTTCCTTCACTTTGATCCTGCAGGGGACATCTGTGAATTTGTTGCTTAAATCTCCTAGGATAGCTAGTGGCCATTTTTGAAATGAACCCAAAAACTGGGGCATGTTATCAAACCCAGAAGCAGATCTACTCCTCTGGTCAGCTACTATGAATCACTGGCTTGTCAAAACAGGGATTTGTTGGCTGTCTCTCTGAACAGTAGTCCGGAACAGTCCATAAAAATATTGTGATTTAAGACTAAAGGGAATAAAAAATACCTCATAGACTTAATGGAACTGAGATGGAAGGCAGGTAAGCAGGACAAAAAGATACAGGAACTTGGACCTGTGACCAACTTCTCTTTCTGATCTTTAATGTACAGTTAATGCAGTTGACAACTGTATATCAACACTAACACAGTGAGAACAGCTGCTGAGGCAGACACCTGTGGACAACCTAGAGGATGATGACTGTGGTGAACCAAGGAAAATACCACAGGAATTTTTACATAAGTGATATCATGTTACAAAACAATATGTACATGTAAACACAACAGCATTTCATAAAGATAATCCCAAGGGAGTTTAAATGAAAAAAAAAAAGCATCAACTGAAATTGGGCTAAATCAATATTGTTTCAATACTAAAACTGTCTATGTTAGTGATGTTTCCTACGGGGGAAGCGAACACACAAACCTAGCTTTTTTAAAAACCAATACAAGGTTACTGCTATTATTAAATTTGTGAAATTAAAACCACTGGAAAAGCTCTCACTGACTTAATGGGATTTAACTATAATAACTGCACAGATAAATATAATCTGGTTACTCAAGTGCTTGTTTTGCCAGTGTTGTAGTAAAATACACACAGTACAACTCTGCCCAGTATGCAAAAGGGCGTACCTGTATGGTTGAGGACTGAGTTGGAATAATGGGTTGGAAATACTAAAATTATTTGCAGTTGGTTTAAGGACTTCAAATCATTATGCCCAAAGGCCTGCCTGGATACTTGCACTGCTGTTTCACTACAGTCTACTTACTGTAGTTCTCAAGTCACCATTGAAAACAGAGCCACACACATACAGCTGAAAATATCCCAAACAAGCTGTTTTGTTAAAAATCTGCCTGTGCAAATGCATTGGGATATGGGTTTTGAAGATGTATCTCTAGCATACAAGTCAGTGCTTGACAGATGCTCAGAGGCTCCTGCTGGTCCTAGTGTGGACTAGAGACTTCTCTGTGAAACACCTCCTTAGACAGAGAACTTTATGAGGGATGAACAAAATCCCACTGTTATGTTAGAGACGAGCTGAATCTACTTCTATGACATTATGACCAAGCACTTCAGACATCACACTGTTTCTAAAGACTAAGAAAAAACAGTACACTTTGTACCAATGAAAAATTGAGCCCCATACCAGCCACTGTGAATATTAACTCTATCCTAGCCAAAACTAGCACACTGGGTCAACGTGAATTTTGCAAGATGACTGTTCATACTATATTTTGAATTCTGAATGAAATTTCCCAATAATTCAGCAGCCCTTCATTAAAAGACCCTGTGACGTGACAATAAAAAAAAATTGTAGCATTTAAAATAAATATGTGTAAAGGAATACAGGCAGATACTATTTTGAAATAAGACATCAAGCACTGCACTGATTTCATCAGTAAGCATTTCCAAGCTGCATCAGCTTAAAACAAAATCGTCAGTGCATCCCATACATTAAGCTGGGTTTAAAAATACCCCAAATCAATGGAGCTGATTGACTGTTCTGTTATTTCAAATTTACTCAGAAATCCCTACATTCCTTGACACACAGTCCACCTCCCAATCTATACTGAATGTAGCCTGTCCTTGTGTGATAAGAGATGTTTCTTCAGCTTCAAAATCCATAGAAAATAAGCCTCAGCCATGAGACTGGCTTGTGTCAGAGTTAGATTTCTGCTTGTAAAGCTGTGCTCTCGTTGTGCTTTTCCCTGAGTTGTCTTCTTCCCAGAGCCTGCAATAAGCAATGTTTGAAAAGAAAAAGTGAATAATAACTCTGAGTTGAGGCATTCACCTCCTAATGGAAAAGTTATCCAAAAGATGAAGAAGCAGAACAAGATGAAATTGCATATGACTATAGTGATGAGCTATTAATTTTCAAGGTATTCTTCAAATTTTCTCAGGTAAAAAAACCCTATAAAATTAAATAATTACTCAAGAACAACCAAAACCATAACATCTGTAATTAGAAACTTGGTAATGTTCTTTCATATATGTTTTTCCAGGGTTTACCAAGCTCTTTGTGGGAAACTGTGATATGTAAACATTATTACTACTTTTTTTGCTCTTCAGATCAAATTCATATGAATGAGGTGTGCATTGATTTCAGAATTTGGAAAATTCTGAGATATTTTTCCCCACAGGTAACCCACAGTGTCTGATTTTCCTTTCACTCCTTTAATCATATTGCTGTAATTACTCCACTGACACTCACAATTACGTACATTAGCTATATGTGGGCTTCCCAATCATGGATCAGGATCTACGACAGCTGGCTAGATCAAAATAAGGCTTGTTCATACCTAAAGAACCACTAAGAAGTGCACACAAAGAACAGCAGAAGCAGCACAATAATGCTAAGAGACTTCTGGAGACCCTTTATCAGTTGTGTGACTTTTGTCTTGGCAAACCAGAGGCAGGTGAGGAAGAAACACTGAAGTGGTCATAATGGAGAAACTGTTTTCTGGTATTTCTTTGGCAGGTGAAGCTAACAGCACAGTAACAAAATTTGACTGAAGTTGAAACTTGTCTACCCCAAATCAGGATGACAGGTTTGGAAATGGTCTAATCCAGGTATACTTAGTATTGGTATTACACTGTTTCTAATATATTTGTCTATTTTCTAGTATTTAAATTCTTTCAAGTACAATTCTTCTAAACTTGGTCTTTTAAATGATTTAATTTCCTTAGGGCAGGTTCCTGGAGCTCCTCTTGGTTTCCAGCTCTTATGTGAGGATCAAAAATAGCCACGATTTTGCTGTACTAGATCCAAGGCTCACAGAACTAAGTCAAGATGTCCCAGCCAAGCTCAAGTACCAGTATATTCTCTTAAGAAAGGATCCAGAACAGAAAAAGGAAGCTTAGAATGCTTAGAGGTGCATGATTTCTGAAATTATTCCTGCCAGGATTTAGCACGATTTGGCACACCACCACATTCATGCAGTGGAAAACCACATGTTCTCAAAGAAACATGAAGAATGATTTAGCCAGTCTGTATGAATTCAGAGATAAGATCTTAGTAGGAAGACAGGTAAAAGTATTTCACATCTCTTACTATTTGTTTGTGTTTTCTGAACCCATCTTTGAAATACAAAGGAAGTTAAGAGAACACATTAGGATGATGTGGAAAAATCTAAATTAAACTCATGAGGGAAGGAAATCTTTTTCTGACCTGCACCATAGCTGTGCACAGACAATCCAAATGTGTTATGATTCTGTAATAAAAACTATTGTTAACCACAATCAAGCTGTGACTTGTTGAGATAAAAGCACTTTCTTAATAGTGTTTACTTATACATATATTAAATAGAGCCTGCTTGGATAAGGAGAACAGTAGTAGTTTAATTGCAGGTCTTTAACTGGGAAGAACTTTATCCTGTTTCATCACAAAAGTAGTCATTACTGAACTGGCTCAGAGGGCAGATTAAACACCTAATCATTACACAGGATGTTGAAAACCCAAGGCTTTATGTAGATGCCAAGTATCATGTTATTTTCCACTGGGTTGAGTTTCTTGCACTGTCTTCCCAGTCTTCTGGTGAAAACATTTGTTTTCCAACTTTTGTAAGCGAGTTATATGATTGTGAATTACTCCTAAGGCTGGTATAAGGCAGGGATGCTTCAGCACCAAGCAGTTACATGGAGTAACAGCGTTTCTCAAGTCCGAAGTACTTCTTGTACCACATTCCAGCCACAGGGAGAGTTGCTGAGCCAGGCTTATATTCCCTGGGCCCAGTTACATATTCATAGAGTGGCTCTTCCGAATCATCCCATGAGACGGTCAGTGCTGCTTTGGGAACACAAAGTGAAAGGCACAGAAGGGCTACATTCTGCCCCGGCCTTTGTGTTCTAGGTGTCATCCTATTGAGATGACACAAACCCTCTCTCTCCGTGAAAATAATAAAACCTTTAAGAAGTCTTTCTCCTCACATAACTGAGCAAACTCACTACCGAGCATGGGTTGTACTTAAGAAGGCATACGAGAGCCACCTATGTGCTGTCACTGCTACATTTCATTGCACGAGGGGTAATCCTACTAGATCAGCCTTCTGTTACTAATCACCCCGCTTTCTAACAGCAGAAAATGAAAGTGTGCATTTACTCTAAGTAGCGAAGTGCAGCCCCCCAGCGCCACCTCCAAAGGCTTCTCTCCCTTCCAAGACCGGCCCCGCGCCACCCGAGTGGGCAGCGCCGCTGCCTCAGAGCCCTGCGCAGACGTGTCACTCCCTCAGCAGCTGCCCTGCGGGCGCTGCACGACGTGGCTGTACCGCGGTGGCCAAACGCCGCCGGCCTTCAACCCTTTCTTTCCCCGGTGCCGGCGGGGGCCGGCGCCTCCCGCGACCCACCCCGCGGGTCTAACGCAGTGCCCTCAGTGGCGGAGGGACTCAGCCTTCCGCCCTCGGCCCCCTCAACCCTCAGTCCTCACCCTTCACCCCTCAGTCCCCTCACGCCTCTCCTGGAGATTCCCGCCCGCTGCCGTGAGGCGGCGGCGCGAGCGACCCCGCACGAGACGCACCCCACACCCGCCGTCACGCTCTCGCCAGCACCACCCGGGCGAGCGACCGCGCGACGGCGGAAAGGGAATGCGGGACTTACTGCGCGCGCACGCGCGCTGGAGGCTGCGGCACCTCTCACGCGGGCGGAGCGCGCGCGCGCCGTTGAGGCGCGTCGCGGGGCTGGCCCGCGCCACGATTCGCCGGTGGGGCGCGAGCCGGGGTGGGGGCGGGGCCGCCTCAGGCCGGCAGCCAATGGGAAGCGGGCGGGACGGCAGGCAGGGGGGCGTGTCCGGTGGCGGGCGTGTCCCGGGCGGGCGCGCGCTGTCCGGGCAGCGATGGCGGACGATGGGCAGGGGCGGCTCAGGACTGAAGGCGGCCAGGGTGGTGGCGCGGCTGCGGCGGGCGGCCAGATGCTGCTGAGCGTTGGGCTGCTGGCGCTAGCGCTGCTGGCGGCTTACCGGCTGTACCTGCGCTGGGGGACGCGAAGCGGGCCGGGAGGCTCGGCCCGGAGGGGCGAGGCCGCCCCGCTGCCGCGCATGAAGCGCCGGGATTTCTCCCTGGAGCAGCTGCGCGAGTTCGACGGCGCCCGCAACCCTCGCATCCTCTTGGCTGTCAACGGCAAAGTCTTCGATGTGACCAAAGGCAGCAAGTTCTACGGGCCCGGTGAGACGGCGGGGGGGCGGGGGGCAGTCCCGGCCTGGCCGCCTGGGACCCACCGGCGGTGTTAGATTGGTGATGCACACCGGGTCTGGGTTCTTCTCAAGCATCCGTCGTTTTTCCAGGTGCCTTGATTTGGATGTGCGATGTTTAATGCAGTTTTTTTTTTTCCTTTTGTCTTTTCTAGTAGGTTTCCCCAGTGCAGCTGAGCAATGCTTTCTTCTAGCGCTTACGGCTTAATAGAGAAAAACAACCAGCTGGTTATTTATTTATGCCATATTGAGGATGAATTTTAATCAGGATAGAGGCAGGGCAGGGAGAGCTCAGGGACTGCTATGTTGCTGCCATTGGGAAGAGTGCAGAAATCAACCCGATCTCTTAAACAGAAAGACAGACGATACTCCTTTTTGGAGAGGAAATGTGTATTTTGAAGGTTCAGAAAAGTAAGCTTCAAAGGCAATGTTATGTTTTCATACCCACCTTGTAGCTTGTGAAACTGCAGCATATTGTCTCGTAACAAACTGTTCTTAATAATGAGGTGGGTAAACTTACCAGTGAGCACTGTGTTCTCATCTGATGCCAAAGGAAATGAGGGTTATGACTGCTGATAATTTTCTTCCTTAAACAATGGTGGTTTGGAAAACTTGATTTATTCAAACTATGCAGGAGTTTTCATAGTAGGCATGGGAAGCGTCCTTGTAGGAAGGGTGGAGGGGAGAGAGGATAACTTCCTCCTCCCCCAGGAAATAGTTCAAGTTAAGTAATCATTATTATTATTATTTAATAATCGAGGTCAAAAAACGTAAAACACAGTACTGGCATGTTACAAGTCTTTAGTTCTTAGTTGGGAAAGGACAAGCAGTTGTATGGTTGAACTGGGCTAGAATTTTGTAACTCTTGTTATCCTCGAAGTGTGTGACACCAGTTGCACAAACTGAAGCTGCTGTAATTGAATCAAAATGCTTTTTTGACCGGATACTGTTGAAGTTAACAATGGGATCTGAAGTACCCTGCCACGTGCTGTGTTGTTTCTCGACCAGTAAAGCTGAAAAAATAGTCTGTTGAGCTGCAGCTTTCATGACATTTAATCAGGTTAGTTCTTTTGTCTTTTTCATTGAGGGGTTTTTAAACTGAGACCTGTGTGCTGACATAAAATGCAGGTAATACATATGCTGCATGAACCTTAAAACACCAGTAAGTTGACAGATTACTCCATGAAACAATACTGAACCATGATCTAAACATTCACTTTATCTCTTTTGTGCATCAAACAGCAATTAAATGCTAGGCTCTCCACTGAAGATATCATTGGTGGTTCACACTGTCAACCTCTGCAGGTCTGTTATTGTGAGGAAGCTAAAACTTAAAGTTCTAGGACATCAGTCTGCTTTTTTGATAACTGTTGGCAGCTGGTTTCCTTAAAACAGCACTTCCAGGCTTCTCGTGGAAAGAGACAAAGGTGTTTGGGTTTTTTTCTCCCCTGTAGTGAAAGCTTGCCTGTTTCTAACAACCGACATCATCTTTGTCTGTCAGATGTGTAACTTGGGACATGGCATGGTAGGATAGTGAAGCTCAAACCTGTGCATCATCAGCTGTGTGTTCTCTGCCAAACATGTTGATATTTGAATCGTGCTGATGTGGTTTCCCTCTTTGGATACATGTCAGAATTTTTCTTGCAACTGTTTTGTGGCTGGAAAGGAAAATGCTAGTAGGTGGTTTGCAGGCCTCAAAAGATCTGAGAAGAGTCAGGTGGAAAAGTCTTTAAAAACTTCTGATTCATCAGTCCACCTTTGGCAGGACTCTTTCCAAACATCCATTGCCACAGTTTGCAGGCCTCAAAAGATCTGAGAAGAGTCAGGTGGAAAAGTCTCCTACAGCTGGTTGAGACCTTTTCAGAAAGGCTTCAGTCAGAGTAGGCAGATGTCCACAGCAATTCTCAGGGTAATTTTATGTCTCATAGCTGGAGTGTGGCAAGGGAAATGCAAAGCATACCGACAAAGCATGACCAGATTTTAACAGAAGAAAGAGCTGAGGGCACTGGCTTTGCTGATATTTCAGGCTTTGACCGTGAGCCTTTGGTATTTTGTTGAGGTACTGATGTGAAATAGAGCGTCAGCTTTGAAGACAGCAGAAAGCATTGGCTGAGGGCTCACTGTCAATTTTGAGTATTTCTGGAGTGCTGGGTTAATGTTGAATAATGTGGCTGTCTCGGGTGGCTTCTGATGCCATGAAAATAAGGTCTGGTTCTTCTCCTTCAGTGTAGTTTTGATGCAAAGGTGTTTCTCATTTTTCTACTTACAGCAGAAAGTTAAAAAATGCACAAAGTTATCATTAGTGTAGATTTTTGTCCAACAGTTGAGATTCCATTAAAGTTCCCACCAAACTTCTGACTTTACTCAAAACTCTCATGGTTTTAAGTCACATCCAGTGAATCCTGTTATACTTTGGCCTGTTTCATTGAAGAGCCCTTTACATACATACAGTTAAGGTAATTTTAGATATTGATAGACTGTTGAAGTCATCCTTTCAAACAGCCATGACTGAAAACTTCACCTTCTTGAACATTTAATCAGAATGTTTTTCAGATTTTTTTAGCTTTTCTCATGTTGTCTTCTTTAAGCCTTACACAGTTTATCTCATCAGTATTCTCTTAGTCTTTGGTATGTCTAAGGCTTTTTAGCTAAGAGCAAGAGAAGGTTACATTGCACATTTACCTGTCTGTGCCTCCAAAACCCACTTTGCTTACACTGAACTCTTAATTTAAAACTTTACTTGCAAGTTCTTTTCTGAAATGCTGCTCTGTCCTGCAAGTATGCCCTTTGTTTCAACACCTCACTTAGGTGTATGAAATGCCACCTCTGCTTGTGCTCAAATGAGTAAGTGTCCTAGAATGCTTTGATTGGTTATTAATTTTAATTAATTGCCTTTTCCTTAATCACACACAAACTCTGAAAGAAATAAAGTAGACAATTAGTGGTTAACTATTAAAAATATCACACAACCAGGCTTTCAGAGAAGCTGTTTTGGGATGATTTCCCATCTGTAATCACATCTCGTGACTTAGGGTCTAATGATTAGTACTTTTGTGTATGCTGTGTTGATTTTGTACCCTTATAACAAGACACAGTATCTACTATTTCATTTATTGCAACATTTAATTTCATGTTTGTTTTTATCAAGATTTCTGGTTGTATATTTGTCAATAGAAGGGCATTGTAAGATTTAAAGTACTTTATGTCAGCAAGTCTTAATATTTAGCATTTAAATTGGCATACCAAGGTAATGCTGTAAACAGGTTTTGATTACCTTAGCAAATACTTTGTGCGTTTATGAAAAATATACGTCTTTGAGCATGACAAAGCAAGATTATATGCAATCCTGTGTATGCACCTGTTCACCTCACTTCTTGGGACTTAATGTTTCGTGATCTTAAAAAAATCAATTTCCCGACTTCCCTTTGCTGCAGTACGTTGTCACTGTCAACTCATTTCTCACCCCACTCTTGTCTTTCAAGTTGTTATGAAGATTTCTGATTTTCCAAGTTTGCCAGGAGGAATAGATAAGATAGTAGTTGTTCCTTCCTATAAAAATAATCCAATGCTGTTAGACTTCCTTTGGAATTGAGTGCTGTGAACTTCATTGTGTCTCTGTTGACCACATGATAACAGTGCTTTTCCATACATCCTTTACGAGGGTATGGTTAGAGTGAAATGTTGCAAGAGGGACATTATATATGATGTATTTGGACAATTCTGCTAAGGGTGACCTTATCTTAAGAACACAAGAGGCTGAGGGCTTACAGATAAGTATGGAGGATAAAACTGGGGGAAAGAAGTGCTTTCTCTAAGGTGTGTGTCTTCTCTGCGTTTTTGATGTTTGTCAGCTCTTTGGTGTCTGTGTAATGAGGTGTCTCTCCCCCTGGGATTCAGCTTTTCAGAGAAACGGCATTTCTGGATAAAATGGAGTTCCAACCAGAAGTAGTAAAACTAAAAGGTGTATACATGCTATTGGTCAGAGATTGTTTCCATACTTCTGGTTAAAGGGAGTACTGCCTTTGCCACCAGGATGGAGGGGTTGTTCTGAGCCTCCAGGCCATGTTCATGGAGAGCAGCGGCCAGTAAAGTGCTTTTGAGCAGGAAAATAAGCACTTGTCTCCTCCTCTGCTTCTGCTCCTTGTGTCTGTCAGCATTTTCCTTATCTTTTTTTAAATTTCTTTTTCCTTTTTTCATAACATCAATATATTCCTTAAAACTAGAATAACTGTGTTTAATAAAAGGTCTCTGTAAATTCCTACTTCCTGTTTAAACCAATCATGTCCCAGTCACAGAATCGATTAGGTTGGAAAAAACCTCTGAGATCATTGAGTCATCTGAGGTTTGAGGGGCCTAATCAAGCAGGTATGCTAAGAGCAAGAAATATTAGAATGTGATAGTGACATCATTGTTAGTGACATGTAGATGTTAAATCCAGTACACAGCAGCATCGCTTTCATTTAATCAAAACACCTGGCCAGCATTGCTTGTCTTATTATGAGATAAACTAGTGGCCAGAGCATTTGTCACTAAAGCAAGATGTAGAATCTAGGTCCTTCTCAAGAATGGAACTGTCTTCCAGTAATCTCTTGACTGCTCAACTACAAGCTCTCTTTGCAGTGCTTGTTGTCTACCCCTTAAGTTGAAATTGGGTCACTGATTCTTGCACTTTTTTTTCCCAGAGAGTTAAAAAGGAAAGAGAGTGAGGCCCTCTGGCCTTATGCCTGAGGAGTCAGGTTTAGACCTTCTAAGCAGTTTCCATCTCAGCATGTGGACTTTGTGGATTGCTCTCCTAAGACGACATACTTTTCATGCAAATTGTAACTTAAAATTAACCCACATCTTTCCTTTCGTGTAAATCTGGAGCAGTAAAGTATGTCACCTTGAATTCCCAGTGGTAAATGTTATTAGAAAGCTTCTGCTTTCAAGTTGCATCTTAAAATGGCTTTGTCTAATTTGTAGCTTTTTCATTCCCTCATGAAAGATGCAACACCGACAAAACACATGTCAGGATTCAGATGGAAAATGTGGAACAGCCAGTGGAGTTTTTGCTTTGAGCTGGAGTGGAAAAAGTAGGCAAAGTGATGGAATAACGCAGTCGTTAATAATTTTGTCTGCAGATGAACAAATGTCGTCCCTGAATATCTAAGCTTCAGACAAAACTGGGGTTTATTTCCAGCGGCTGCATGGAGTCAACAGATGCAAAGAACATCTGGTAAACTTTGCATATTTGGTGATTGCACTTCCTACTTGAAGAAACCAAAGCTGCTGGTTTAAAACTGAACCTTGTTAACCTGTGTGGCTTCTTCAAAGAAATCACATGATGGGCCTTGTGAAAATGAATACAATTTTTAGATTACATATCACTTCATTAGACATAAACTCCACGTGGCTGTCTGTGGTGTGATCCCTGCACTGCCTGTTGGAACAATCCAAAGTTCAATGTACAGTGTTCACTTCTTCACTAGTCTTGTAGCAATAGTCTGGGATGTTCCACAAAGGTGGTACAGAACTGAAATAAATGGTCAGGTAGCCTCTTTGGTAACCAAGAATATCTACTCCAAAGTTGAATACGAGCATAGGTTTTGCTGGCGGAACTATTGGCCAGACTGGCTGAAAATTGAAATGCATGCTATTCCAAGATCCAGTTTAGCCTGTTTTGGAGGAAGTGACTCAAAGCACTGTTTCCAAATAAAAACTTCATACTTCAAAATTTTTAATACGGTGCTTTAGCCTAAATATATTTTTCCTTGCCCTGCTGTTGTCTTAAAGTGTCTGCAAAGAGAAATTAAATCTTCATTTGAGAACCAAAACAGGACTAGGAGGTGCAGAAATCCTGAGTGCAGGAATTGCAAAGGTATTTTTACTGTCTGAAGGGATTTTGATTTTACCAATTGTGAATTGTTTATTGTGAATAAAGACAAATATCAGGCTGGAACACAATGTCAAGTTCATCAAGGCTGCCAGATTCTTAACTGGATTCTAAAAGGAAGTGAGGATCTACAGGTGGTGGGTACCAATGTTTTGCATGTGTTGTAGCTTAGGGAAGGGTGTACTTTATACAAGGTGGAGTTGTAAGGTAGATGAGGACTTTATACAGGGGAAAATGCAGTGTATGAACATGGTGGGAAAGATGTGGAGTTATGTAGGCAAATATGTGGTCTTGATAATTGGTCTCAGGGCTAAAATAAACAAAGGCTCTGAACAGAGTGCTTTAATATGTGAAAGCCATGATGGGAAGAAAAGCATTCTTCAAGGAACAGCGTTTTCCTTCATGTAAGGTTCATAGCACCATGTAGCCAAGTAACATGTAGCAGACATATTTTAATTGGTTTTAACACTTCCCTGACTTCCATTGTTGTGAGATGCCAAATAGGAGTGGGAGAGGAATTTTTTTAAGTCATAGTTGACTATGAAATAGCTAATTTGGGGATACAGCAAAAGAAAACCACTGAGATTTTGTGATAGGGTCTCCAAAAATCATTTTGGTTTACATACCTATGCTACAAGCCTCTGTTTTTGCCCTGTCTTCAGTGTGTCTGTCATGTCATGCTGCAATCAATTATTTACATCAGGAGCCAGTCTAAATAGGTGGGCAGACAAAAGGTAAGAAGGACTGTGGGTAGGGCTTGCAGAGTAAATTGCATCTGGTCATGAAATAACTCTGTGGGAGTGTGCTAAGATTGCACTAATGTCTCTTAACTCAGAATCATGTTCCTGAAGGATATTTTCTCCCCGGGGTTCTCTGTGCTGGCACCTTCCTAGGTGCTTCTCCAAATGCAATGAAATCTGATATGCAAAATACCTTTTTAAGACTGTTGCACTGGTATTTTATATAAAAGTGAATAATAGACATGGGCTAATAGCAGAACCCCAGACCTCTTTGTTCTATATTAATATAAAATACTGTACTTAAACCCTGTGTAGAAGTACCTGAATGGAAGCTTTAAATCTTGAAGTATATTGCTCATACTGAGTACTCTGAACTTCACTTTAGCAACTGTGCAACTAAGGTGAAGCCAAGCTTGCACCATTTTTTAATAATCATAATTCAATATTTACCTTTTAGTAAAGGATGGGACGCATCTCTAAGTTACATTTGCAGAGCTGGAATTTGAGATGCTGTCTACCAAATCCAAAGGCTGATTTTTACAAGCTAGCATTCCACTGAGTGCTTAGACATGGCTCGATGGTTTCTCTGTGACTTCTGAATACTTCTGTAGTAACAATCTGGAATGTTTAGATTCAGTTTCAAAAAAGAAAAAAAAGTTGGTGTAATAGCATATGAGATTAAAAGATATTTGCAGAACTTTTGCCTCCATTAATCTTAATGCAAGCTGATACATTCTAAAAGCTTTCATGCTTTCAGTTGAGTGTATTATTGAGATATAAGGGTGTTCAGTGCTGATAAATATGATACTGATAAATATGTCATTCTCTTTTTAATAGAAATAATTGTAATCAAGCTGGTGGACCAAGAGGTGGCATCTCAGCAGGTGCTGTAAAACTCCACAAACCACTAAATGCAGGGTAGAAGAGAAGGGTAGCAGTGTGCTACTCTCTGTTTAGTCAGAATTTAGATAACACATTATCCAAATAGTAGGATTTATGGCAATATTTGCTTGAAACACTTCAGAGAAAGGAAAAACTGGAGACAAAATACTGTTGGTGGGGACATTAAGTAACATACAATTGCTCTTAAGGATTTACTGATTGTGGTGTTTGTAAGAGCTGTTTATAGCTCTAGTTCTTCATGCAGAACATAAAAAACTAGATCACTTGAATGATTGCTATTTTGAGTGAAGCAAGACTTCTTGTTTGAAGAAGCTGTTGTGTTGCAGATGATGGGCATCACTGCCTCTTAGCCTGTTCTGTGGGAAGTGACTGAGTAAGCAAAATGCATTTGTATAGGGTTGATGTCAGTCTCTAAATCCTGTTTTGCAAATAAACATCTAATTCAGGATGCCAATAGGAAAGACAGAGTTCACTAGCCCTCTTGCCTTTGTTTCTCTTTAGTACTCTAAATGTAGTTTCTGATCCCAAAGGTAGTTTTTGTGAATGTCATTCCTGGAGCTAAATATCTAAAAGGCTGAGCACATCATGCTGTTGATCATTGTGATTGTCTCTTATGGCCAGATTGGTACAGTGCAAACTTCCAGTTGATAGTTCATTCTCCAATAACTCCTTTTTGTGGAATTTTGCTTTTAAATCAGTTGGTTTATTTCCAGAGAGACAAGGGAATTGTCTTTGGCACACAAGACACCCTTCTGTTCTCAGGTCTGACTGTAAGCAGCTTACAATGCCAAGCACTCTGGGGTGGAGAGACTACACCAGTTCTGGTGAGGACATAGTTTCTTCTAATCCATATGGTACTCGGGTTCCTTGCCTCAGGAATTCTTCCTACTGCATTCAGCCTCTGTCTGAACCCTGAAGTCAATGCCCCGCAAGAGCAGATAGGTGTGGTGGCTGGAGCAAGCGGCCTGGGAGGAAACCAGCCTCTTGGATTGATTTCCCGTGGCTCATCCTGGTGCAGAAGAGGTCTGAGGTGCTCCAGCAGGCAATAGAGGGGGTGAAGGACAGTGTGTTGCCACTTGCTTGTGTTCATTCTTGCCCGTGGGTGCTGCCTTTTCTTCAGGCTGACGGCCACTGTCAAGAGGTAAGCCAGAGAAGGGTCCTGGCCTATTTATCTTCAAGTAGCAACCACTCTGTAGCAAGCCTTGGGCATCTCCGTGGTGCTCAGCTGCTGCAGTTAGTGCAGAAAACTTTAAAGTGGGTGGGGTTTTTTGGTTTGCTTTTTGGTTGTGGGGGGTTTTTTTTGTTTGGTTGTTTGTTTTAACTGATCTGAATTAAGGTATTTGGTTTTAGGTCAAGAAAATGTAACATATGCTTAAACTATTTTCCATTAATTAAAATTTGGGAAAGCCAGTTACCAACCTTATCCTGAACGTTGTTAGTTTGCAAATCATCCATTTCTCTTAGTAATAATACTTATTTTAGTCATTGGTCGAAATTTTATTGGTATATTTGTGCTGCTTTGCATTGGTCAAAAAGTACAGAGGAAGTAGTTGCTTTATATTCTTAACGTGACAATTTGTGCTGTTTTCAAGAGCAGTACAGGATAGGGATATGGAGGATCTGCTGCCCAAAGTAAGTGAGGAGATTTCCACAGAAGTAAGAAATGTCCCAAAAGATGTAGAAAGTTCTTGTGGTTCTATAAGTGAAGTGAAATTATTAACTAGCAGTCTTAAGTTATATTTATTTATAATAATGAATTCCTTTATTTATAATAACGAAGATGTCTATACAGTTTGGTTCTGTTAATGCCTGACTTGTAAATACCCAATGTTTTGTTTAATAGAAGTGCATTTCTTTTGAATTCCAGCCTCTGGTCCCTTTGGAATTTGCATCCACTGACGTGCATCAACTGACAGGGATTTTTCCAGATATCCCTTCAAAGTTATTTTCCTGGTTCTGCTTCTCTCAGCAGACTTTATCTCCCAGTGACATTAAAGATTGAATTGCAGTGCTGTTGAATGTCGAACAGCCGTGGCATTGAAACTGCTGCTCTTCCAATCACTGCAGAATTTTAATTTATGGCTTGGGCAGACAATGTAAAGAACAGAGATTTGGTTACCATAAACAAAGACTTGAAGGCATCAATTTTGTCTTTTTGTTTTCAGAGGGTCCATATGGAATATTTGCTGGCAGAGATGCCTCCAGGGGACTAGCAACTTTCTGTCTAGATAAAGATGCACTCAGAGATGAATATGATGACCTATCGGACTTAAATGCTGTACAGATGGAAAGTGTAAGAGAGTGGGAAATGCAATTTAAAGGTAAATTCTCAAATTAGCAGCACATCTTTAGCTTAAGGAAATGCTTTTAATAAAAATGACTGATTTGGGCTTGGGAAGCTTTTAAAGAAATGTTGACAATAATATCATTAATGCAATGTAACTTCGTTTAGAAAAGACCAGGGAATTCAGGCCTTTCTTCCATAGAGAGCCTTTCACTATATCTTACTAAATCTCTTTCAACCTTTTAGTTTTAGACAAGAAAACTATTCTCTGAGCTCTTCAGAACAGAATTTCACTCTCAAATCTCATCAGCTGATGGAACTCCCGCTCGCAGGTTGTTGGCTTTGGGTGCCATGGAATTGTAATTAGGACTAAAGATTGTTTTAGCATAAAGGGTTGAACAAGTTTGTCTTGAAATAATTTCTGACAAATATGCGTCAGGAGGGAGGGTCATTTTTCACACTGACTGAAATCAAAACAGGCTGAGGGACTGAAGAGCAGCAATTTCAGCCCTTGAGTGACAAAGCTTTGCCTGATCAGCTGCGGGAGAACAGAAACAAAGTACTCACAGTTAGAGAAAGAAGGGAGCAGCAGTAGTAGAAAGAATGGTTTGGGAGGCTGAGCTTGCTGCTAAATTACCACCAATTCCAGTGATTCAGGTTAAGAACTGTAGTGTGTAAGAGAAAAAGTGAATTTGCAGTAGTCCAAGCTAACAAGCAAATGCAGCTGTATTTGATTGTAATGGAATCATAACTCTCTTTCAGAAAAATATGACTACGTAGGTAGACTCCTAAAACCAGGGGAAGAACCATCAGAATACACAGATGAGGAAGATACCAAGGATCACACTAAACAGGAATGAACTTTGTAAACAACCAAAGTCAGGGGCCTTCGGAACTGCAACCTCTTATCCCCATCACAGAATGTCCTGCATCTTTGGGTACAGTTCATCTGCTGCGAAAAACATTCAACAGGTTTTGTACAAGGAAAATAATATACTCACAAGTGAAGATTTGAATACTAGACATTCTTTGTGCTGCCAAATTTTTTTTGCAGTTTATTTGTAATGTCTGGTTAGGCTTCATTAGGGAAGAGGGGCCAGGGATTTAAAGGCAAAAATGCTATTCCTTTTTATCAGTAAGCTGAAGCCTTCAAGTAGTGTATCTTACAAGTTCTCTAAAAGATGTGAGTCTTCAAGCTCAGAGGAAGGTTTGAATCTTGTTTCGTGTGTTTCTCCTCTAGCATTAAAGAAAGATGTACTCATGCACATCAGCAGCAGTAGGTTAGACTACTGAAGCTGGTGCTAAAATGTGAATTTCCAATTTTGTTTTGTATGTGGGCGTTAGTGGCCTCAGCAGAATACTTCAGTTCTCTAAGAGAAGTCCATGTAGATTAGGATGGGGATAAAGTTCATCCTTTTCTCAGAAGGATTGGATAAAACGGTTTCCTCTGCAACAACTATTATCTGAAGCCTGCCTCTCCCCCCTTTTCCCATCCTCTAAATCAAATCAAATATTAATTGTGCCTTATTTCGCTTACATAGACTTGAATTGTTTTAAGGGACAGCCCCCAAATTGTGGTTTCATAGTCACTACAAGCAGCATTGAGACTGAAGTTGGAATGTTCTGTTGACTGGAAAGCCTTGATGTCATTCTGTGTATAGAATGTAAAAGAGGAATACTCAGTGTTACTGCCATATGTTAATACTACATATACTTAAATTAGCATTGTGATGGCCAAATGCATACTCCCATGCTTCTTTTTAATGAATTACAAACACACAAAAAAGTCACCCTTCCTCCTTTTCCAGAAGCTGCCTAACTTTTGGGAGCATAGCCTTCACACCCCTGTAGAATGAAGGGGCGTTGCGCGCGTGTGTCTGTGTGTGTGTCTGTCTGAATGCAAGATGTGGGAGGGATTGTTTCTGCAGATATTGTAAATACAAGTACCATTTTAATAAAGCATGTACAATACCACATGTGCTGTCAGACTTTATATAGTAGCTGTTAAGCAGAGCTGGAAATGATGGAATACAAAGGGGAAGAAGTCTTGGATATGTGAAGCATCCATCACTATTAATACTGCTCCTTGTCTAGTTGTTTTCCCTTTCAAGTCCCAGGTGTTGAGGAATCTTGAGGACTTACTCAGGTAAGCTGTATTTAAGAGAGTAAACCTATGCCAATGCATTTATGGTGGGGAAAAAGAAGTAATGTAAATAAAGCATTTTAGAAACTCAGTGTAATGTACAGTACAAGGAATATGTCTCATGGCATTAATAGGACAAGAACAGCAGCTTTGTGGCTTATGTCTGTGTACCTCTGCAGATTTCACCTGTAATAAGTCTACAGTAACAATTTATATATATACACATTCTGTGGAACTGTAAACTGTGAAATTCCAGAGTTGACTACTTTTTTATTCCTGTTTGACTGAAAGAGATTTATATTGATGTAAATGAAACAAATAAACAAAAACTCCTCTGCTGAATCATGTGTAACTCAAGTGTCCTAGAAGGCAGATTGAATGCTGTTGCTTGCATATCCAGCCTTGGAATAGAATAGTTTTAGCATGGAAGAAGTAACAGAAGTAGAGCTGTTTCTCCATAAAAGTTATGGCTGCAGGGTCCTCTTCAGGCTGGACAGTTCTGAGAGGTGTGAATTCAGTAAGCACTGGCTTCTGCTTGGGTCACATCGTTATAAGCTGAGCAATAGTACAAGATCCAGGCTTGGATTGAGTGTCTGCTAATCATCTAACTCTGCTGAAATGCTGGGCATGCTGCTGTAACTAACCACAGAAATATGTGGTTTAGATGGAACAGTGGAAGCTAACAATATAAATAAAAGCTTCCTTCCATAGGACAGGGGCTAGGAGTAATGAAACACCAGTTCTATATCTGGATGCTTCACTAGGAAGTTTTTTTCTTTTAACTAAATCTCACTATAAAAGGTTTTACCCTACATTTACAGTATGCCTTTCACTTTTAGCTGTTGCACCTCATCATGGCATCCAGATTGTCTAGTTGTGGAGCAGGAAAAGGCAGCTTACCCAACTATCTCATAGGACAATCAGATAAATACTTTTTTCCGCATTGTATTTGGTGAAATACGCATGAAAATACACATACATGTTACAGCTTGTACCATACAAAGTCATGGCTGGAGGTTCTTAACACTGAGTTTCTCTGCTCTTCACTCATTACAGCCATTAGTATTGCTACATCTGGCATAGCTTTAGCTGTTCATCATGCTTATATCTGCTTGATGTACTAGCTTCCTACTAGAGAAAGAAAGGTAGTTACGTACACTTCTGTTGTTTTTTAAAAAATGTGTTAAAAGCACAATGCTTAAAATTTAACTTTTAGGATTGGCTGAACAAGATGGGTAAAGCATGAGTTTTGTTTTGAAACATCTTAATGGTAACTATGAGGTATACAAAACTTACACCATGGCAGCAGAATGTTGCATAGAGTTAATCCTGTATTTTGATGTCTAGTGGATTTAAATTACTGTCATCCGTCCTACATACAAAGTCAGCAGTGATCTAAAGCTGATAATCTTAAAAAAAAAAATAGTGCTTTAAAGCACAGAGTAGCTTTAATATATATATAAAAAGTTGACATATACAAAGCATAATTGAGAATAACATCAGATCTATCCAACCTTCAGTGCAGCTGCTATAATAATTTGATGGAGGCGTTCATCCTTGGAACATTTGTGTCAATCACTTGGTCAAAATTCATTGTTAAATAAAATGATGGGCAGGTTGGTACTGACTCTGTTAAATTTTGTTTAAGCAACATGAGGGTCTTGAAGGGAGAATTTCTCATCATCCATAGGAACAAAATACATTTTCAGTTAAATATATGACTTGTTTTCCTAAGCTAGACTTAGTGTTAAATTAGTTTGAACCATCGTTTGTTTTGACACTTCTGCCTCATTTGTATGCCGCTTCCCAAAAATGCTGCATTATGGCAGGAAATATATTTTTAAACCTTCTTGATTTTAAATAAAAATTTACCATGTTGTTACTTGATCTGAACATCTTGAATTTCCAGTAAGGACTACAGAATTATCCTTTCACATGCTTGTACTCGTTTGTATCTTTTTACTGAGCTAGATCTACTTTTCCTTGGCTGAGGTTTAAGTTTTCTATCCTTTAGGGTTGGGACACAGAATCTAAAATCAGTTTGGCACTCTGCTGATCTTGCTTCACTTTAAATATCTTAGTTCTAAACCACTTTCTAACCTTATTTTTCTTCCTGCAAAATCAGTTTGATTTTACTGTCTTCGTTGCAAAGGTCAGGGAGCAGTTAAACCTTGCATAGGCTTTGTTTGAGTCTCTTTGATAATACAGTAAGAGTTTGTGGGGTTTTATTTCCTCTAGGAAAAGGTACTATTCCTCTGTGTAGAATAGTACAAAAGATTTGGCTGTTTATTCCTTTCCTCCTTAACATAAGTTAAGGAAGCTTTGAAGGCTTACTTACATATGGAAAGCAAATAAATAATTAGGTATGAATGTTACTGCTAAATCTTTCTACTGGCTTCTAATTTACAGTTAAAGGTGAATGTTTCCTAAGAGGTGCTCACAGACTGGGTTTAAGGTTGCTTTTATAGAACCTGTGTGCCAGGGTTGGCTCAAATACAGGTGAAGGGTTGTTTCCCCAAAACCCCAAAAGCACCGAGGCTGAAGACAGCAGAGAAGAAAGCTCTTAAGACAACAGGTCAAGCAAGCCTAATGTAGCTGTGGGATTTATCAGGAAAAGATCATTGGCTATGCTCAGTCTCCTCTACCTGGAGCCAAGGGAGTGTCATTTGTCACCTCGGCAGTGCCTGTAGCAAAGGCTGCACAGTAGAGGCTGCTGTGAATACAAACTGGTTTCCATTCATTCTAATGCTTTATCTCCCCCAGAAATCCACATCCCTGTTGCAGTTCAGGAGCATCAGTCACACAGACCAGGCTACTGCTGCTCACTATAGGAAAATATCTAGTCTCCATCAGGAACAAGAGCCAGCTTGAGTTTTCCCTTCCCTATTAAAAATCCTCTAGAATCCAATATTTTGAGCATGACAGGAATCTTCCTGAGTTTAGGCAGGGTAGTGTTTTGAAGTATTGGTATGGTCATTTCTCAACAGAAGAAATGAAGGCAAATCTAGGAAGTCTTCAAGAAGCACACGGGAGAGTTTTTAGACAAGGAAAGGTCCAAGACTTGCTGAGCCTTCAGTAATAGACCACTGATACAATACAACCACTCAAGTCAAGGTTGGATTAAATGGACCTAAAAGGCATCAGAAGGGATGTTGGATACACACACATATGCATGTTCAGAGACAAATTTATGGCCTTGCAACAAGGTACATCAGTTACTGAAGCCAGATAGAGAAACAAGCAGCAATGTAAGTATTGTATTTTCCACCTCTCTGCAAGCAAAGAGGGGGAAGATTCCAGCCCATGGGAAGGGAAAGGGGCATTCCTGGAAGGCAGCCAGAGTTGTGGATGGACTTGGGTGGTGTTTTTGTCCACGCCACTAAAGGGACACCAAGCAATTCTAGAGGGCAGCAGGTATTCATTCTCTCAGGTAAAGTATTCACTCTCTTTGCTTTCCACCATACTTATCACTCACCTGTAGTGGTTTTTTTTCTAAAATACCCAGTCATGTGGCAAAAACAAATCAATATTGAACTTGAAGAAAGCTGGCTCACATCCCAAGAACCACTTCAGCCCTTAACAGGCTGGGTTTCCACAATACCTCAGTGCACCAGAAATTCCCATGCAAATCTACACCCTTACACTCTTTCAAGCTGTTTTTCTTCATACTTTGGGGGGGGGAAGTTGATATACAACACAATTAGGATTTTTTTGTTGTTGTTTTTATAAAATATTTGAGGATAATCACAAAATAACACACACTAAAAGCTTAATCTGCACATTTTCCAATGAAAAAGTGAAAGGAAATATCTTAAATTTATTACTTGTATATACAATTTCAGTCCAAATTTACATTTGCATCATTTTCATGGATAGCAAAAGGCATGGATCAAACATAGGATTGAGATGTGTCACTTCAGCATATTTATAGGATATTTACTTATAATCTTGGTATATGTTTGTTTAAATTTATTTAGAAACAGGCCACTGACAAAAGGCTGGATTTTGTATTGAAATGGTAGAAACTGTAGGAAGGTCACTGCTACCACCCATTCCTTTCAATGCAAATATCCATCATTTGTTTCAGTGAGATTCACAAGACAATGACTGAAAAATTAACAGTCTTGTTATAATAAAACCCCATCCATAGCTGTGCAGTCAGATTAAGGCATCTGTGCTAGACAGAACTTTTTAACTTTGAAGTTAACTGGAGTGATTTCTGCAGTTAACTAACCAAAAGCTGGAATTCCTCTCACCTACTCCTGGAAGAGGTAAGTTATCCATTTTGTTCTTTCTGAGTCTTTAAAAACAAAGTAATGAAGTTAGTAAGACATGTAAACATCCCCATCTTTCAGCTATAAAAATGGATTTGTATTTGAATAACTTACATTCAGTGAATTGTCTTTAGACCTGTTTGAAATCATTTACGCTTAGCTAGCACAATTTAAGCAGAATTTAATTCAGATATTGCAAAATAAAGCAAATAAAATTTACAAGAAATATTTCATTTCCCTCCAAACTAATTATTACTTGAAATATGGAGAAAAAAAAATTTAAAAATGATGCCTCTCCTACTGGAGTTCATAATCATAAGAGAATTCAAATGAAGACACCTCTCAAGCCCAGAATAATCTGAATAGTTTGCTATTTTAACAACCTGCACAAAATGTAGGTGCTGAATGTTAATTTAAGACACTATGAAATCAAAAGCTTAATTTTCCCCTGTAGTTTTTTGTTCCTTGAGTTATTAAAGAACTAGTACTGAAGGAAATATCTGCAAAACTATCCCAGTTATGTCCACTCAAACTCCATAATTAATAAAATGCCAACTATGGAGACCCTGAAAAAAATAGAAACTATATCTTTAAACAGAATCCAGAAATGCAGTTTCATATATAGCTGCGTGTTCTTGAGTGCTTTTTCACAAAAACATCCTTTTTGATAGTTAGCTTCAAGAGTAAACCAATCAGAGAGATCCCTCCTTTCCATTTAATATTCTACATATAATGTAATCTTTTTTGCTTTGGTAAAATACAAATGATGGGGAAATCTGAGTAAGGAAAGCATAGTAAATAACATGGGTGTTACCTTTTTTAAGAAATCTGAGCTGAAATGTAAGGCATCCCCCAAAGTATTTTTTGCATATGCAAGGAATGCAGTTCTTTGTAAACAAAAGCTTGAGGAAAGCAATACTGAAGCCAAAGAATCTTCCCTAGGATCCTTCCGATGATCCCATAACCAAGAGCAACTCTCCTAGGGTAAGTGTTTTGGAACTACATCCTGTGAAACAGAGAATCCAATTCTTTTGTCATTCCATAGGTTTTTAATCATGTAGTA